CTGCGTGGGGTGTTGGGTGGTTGTGCCACCAGCACGCCCGGGGGCAATGCGCATTCAGACGCGTGGCAATGACGGCAAGGTTGGAACAAGTCGAAAGCTCTCTTCTTGGGGCTCTGCGGGGCCGCGCTGCAGAACCAGCGCCGCTGCTTCCCGACGCCCCTGGCCGCCCTGTGGCCAACCTCTCCTCGCAAACTTCACACATGGGGTGCTTTGGGAACCGTGCGTCGGAGATCTTGTGAGCATAGCGGTTATGATGTAGAAGGGAGTGATCAGCAGCTTTTCGCGCCCGTCCCCCCACCCCCGAAAACAGCTTTTAACCAGATCGATTGCTCTGTGCCTTTGGGGCTCTGTGAGGCCGCGCGGCAGAACCACCGCCGCTGCGCCCCGACGCCCCTGGCCGCCCTGTTGCCATCTTTTCCATTCAAACTTCACACAAGGCGTTCTTTGGAAACCGAGTTTCGGATAGCATGCTGCTGGCAATGACGATGATCATGCTGGTGAACATGATGGTGAAGACGATGCTGATGCTGATGCTGATACTGATGCGGGTGGTGACGATGCTGCTGATGATGCTGATGGTGCAGCTGATGCTGGCGGTGATGATGACGATGATGATAATGAAATGCCGGTGGTGGTGATGGTCATGGTGCTGATGATGTTGAGGACACAAGTTGATGATGATGGTGGTGAGGATGATGATGAGGAGGAAGAGGAGGCGGAGGATGAGGAGCAGGGGGGGGAGGAGGAGGAGGAGGAGGAGGAGGAGGAGGAGGAGGAGGAGGAGAGGAGGAGAGAGGAAGGAGCGGAGGAGCGAAGGAGAGGAGGAAGGATGAGGAGGAGGAGGAGGAGGAGGAGGGAGGAGGAGGAGGAGGACAGAGGAGGAGGGGGAGGAGGAGGAGGAGGAGGAGGAGGAGGAGGAGGAGAGGAGGAGGAGGAGGAGGAGGAGGAGGAGGAGGAGGAGGAGGAGGAGGAGGAGGAGGAGATGTTTCACGGCGCAACTTTACCGTGCTGGACCGTTCAGCGGCCAGCCGAATCGCCTCGTGGTCGAGTTTCTTGCATTGCCGCGCTTCAGAAAATCGACAACGATCAGGTCGTCCCGAAATGTAACTCTTGGGCAAAGTGCGCCCCAGCGAATTGGGAGGCCTTGCGGCGGCTCGGGGTTTGGACAGCATGGGGTCCCCCTGCGTGGATCCTCGCGCCCAAGTCGAAACGGCTGGCCCAGGACGCCCTTGCAGCCTCCAACGCGCTGCATGCTTGTCTATGGATGCGGCCCAGGCCCGACGAGGACGCATTCCACGGCTGACGCGACCGTGCGCGGATTTCCCGCCCGCGGCCCGGGCATGCCAGCCCTGGGCGGACACGGCGCCAAGTCCACGGCCCCGGACAGGGGATGCTGCGTGATCCCAACACGTGGTGCGGATTGCAACCGATGTGGACGCGCCCCGAGGGCCGCTCCCTGGGCATCGCCACTCGTGGATGTGGGAGGCAAGGAGGCTGCGCCCTCGCACCCAGCAGGGCCCTGCTGGAGGCGGAACGTCCGCGCGCGCCTCAGGCTTCAAGCTCCGTCGAGCGGCCTCGTTTACGTTCGTTCCTGGGGCCGAGGAAGCACGCGCCCAAGCTCGGTGTGTGATTCTCCAAGCGCTCCCCTAACTTCTCCCTCCGACCCACATCACCCCTCCACCTCGAGTTCGATCTTGCGGAGGGTCTCAAGGCATTGATGGTCGCACGTGCCGTCTTCTGTTAGCGCGGCCACCATGCGCCCAGTGTATCTGGTGAGGAGGCGCGCAGGGTGAAGGCAATCGAAGCGGAAGGCGCGGCCATCTTCATCCAGCCAGCCTTCCGCCGCCCCAGCCTTCGCCATGGCGTTGGCCGCGTGATTCCCGTCGGGCAGTGGTTTCCTCGTCTCACGTTTCGTGCGCGAGGACCTTTGCTAAGGGCACGTCCCCGAGCGCATCCTGGGGAGCCTTCATGGCGCCAAAGCGCCAGGTCCTGCCCGCAGGCGACGGTGGCGGCACAGTAGGCAGTGCAGCTGGTAGTGGCTTGCGGTGTGCCTTGACGCCATCAGGACACCGTAGGCCTCACCTTTCTTGGCGGACTGAGACGGGTAGAGATCTCGGGGCACCACCCCGCGCAGAGTTTCCACGTAGCCGACAGTTAGCGTCGTGAGCCGCCGCTGCCCAGCCGGCCACGGAGACGGTGGTGTATCACGCATCGACGCAGGCTCCATCAGTCAACGCGTGCCCGCCGTCCAGCATGAGGCCAGCCAGAGGTCAGCACTCTGCCCAGAGCTCAGCTGAAGGCTGCAACGGCGGCAGCCGAAAACACCGAGCAGGGTCAGGCAAGAGCACTCGTGCAAAGCGCTCACCAGCTTCCTCCCCCACCTCCTGCACTCGAGCGGCAGTATCGCGCACCTCCAGGTTCAGGCTGTCCGACCTCCAGGCGTGGTGTGCTGGGCGCTGGCAAAACCTGTGATGCAGGCTGCTGGGAAAGCTGGGGCACCAGTGGCAGAGGGCGGGCCGGAAGCCCCAGGCCCTCCTTCCCTCAGCAAGTGCGAGCCTGGCACCGAGGCGTGCCGCAAAGCAGGCCCCGCTGAGCCCGCTTGTGATGGAGTCTCCAGCCGCGCTCAGCAGTCGAGTGCAGCGGCTCGTTGAGGGGGCGCCGGAAGACGGGCGCGGCCCGGCTGTGGCGGCCAGTCCTGGCCAGGCGCCACCAGGCGTAAGTATGAGTGGATGTCCGAGGTTTGCCGGGCCGCCTCCTGCTCGTTGAGGCGGAGGAAGGCTGGCGGAACTGCCTGAAGATCCGGGCGCTCGCCTTTCTCGTCGTTCAGCGTGAATGGGTCGTCCAGGCTCTGGCCGACGCGCTGCAGCGTTAGTCCCAGCGTCGCGATCGGGACGGGGCAGCGTGCCCACGGGAAGCGCTGCGTGGCCACCTGCCGCGCACCATCCAGCAGCAGCTGCAGCAGCGACCGCTTGAAGACGCCGTCCCAGACCGTTTCGATATCAGTCTGGATGGCCAGCGCCGTGACTAACACGAACGGGTCGCGCCTCCAGCTGGCGCGCTGGCTGGCCATGGATCGTCCGAGGGAGGCCCCACGGGAGAGGCGCCCCTCTGCCCGGCTCGCGGCAGCCCTCCACCCCTTGGCCCTTGAGCTTGCCGTTCGGCACGCCCCGTATGGCGGTGCCCCACGGGTGCCAGCACGCTCGAGCCAGTGTGGTGAAGCTACGCGGTCGGCGCGCCTGCCTGGCGAAGCTGCTCAGGGCGTGCGCCGCGGGCCTGCGCGTGTGTAGACCGTTGGCTCTCAAGTGCTTCCAGTGTCCACCCAGCGAAGGGGAAAAGGAGGAGGAGGAGAGGTCGAGGAGGAGAAGGTGGAGGATGCGGAGGGTGAGGAGGAGGAGGAGGAGGAGGAGGAGGAGGAGGAGGAGGAACTAGAGGAGGAGGAGGAGGAGGACGACTTGGAGGAGGAGGCGGAGGAGGAGGAGGAGGAGGAGGTCGAGGACGAGGAGAGGGTTGAGGAGGAGGAGGAGGGAAGGGAGGTGGGAGGACTCCAAGAGGTTTCCGATCCGATCGCCTGGTGGAGCACGGCTACTTCGTCTTCTGACGTCACGAAGAACTCGTGATGGCCTGCTTCTTCTCAGCGTGGGCCTGTAGATTCTAGAGGCCCCTTCTCGGCCCTGGTCGAGGTCGAGGTTCGGGGGCCCACGCCACGACCATGTGTTGAAGCAGCGCTTCGCGCTTCTCGGCCTGCTCTGGGGAGTTGTTCTCCTCCATCAAGGGCAGGAAAAACGCCCCTACCCTGGTTTACGAGGCGCTGTGCGCTGAAACTCCTGCGGACTGACAGGGTAAACCCTGCGTGATGTGCCGCGTCCTGGCGGCTCTAGGCTTTGGTGGTTCCCAGGAGGTTTACAGACCAAGCACTTGTAATCCAGGGTAGGGCCGTTTTTTCCATCCCTTAACTCCAGGCGGCGGCGCGAGAGCGCGACACTGAGCTCGCGCCTCGCGCAGCGCGAAGGCGCGAGAGCAGGTGACCCGGGCAGGCGTCGAGAGCTCTGCGCTGCGGGGCAGCTGGTTTCGGGTGCTCGCGCCGACCGCGAGGCCTCCGACCAGTCTCCCACACCGATCGGCCCGGGGCGAGGAGGGGGAGATCGGCGGCGAGCGAGGGGGGGAATGGAGAAGGAGAGGGCCTTCTCAGAAGGGCGGCGGGGCTTCTCAGAAGCCCTCGCGCCTTCTGAGAAGTTTTTGTTCTGTCTTCGGGGAAGGCTTCGAAAGCTTCTCAGAAGTCCGGGGGGACTTCCGAGCCTTCTGAGAAGGTACGCCCCTTCTCACTTCCCCCCCTGGCTCGCCGGCTAGGAGAGAGGGGGAGAGAGAGAGAGACGCTGTGGCAGGCTCCAGCCACCTCGACGTGGCGGTAGCGTCAACGCGGCGCCTAGGACGTGAACGGGAGCGGAGGAGAGCATACGGATACCGACGGCCTTCCCTGGACTTGTTTCCGCTTGGTTGGCCTCCGGGGGGGGGGGGCCCTCCCTGCCGCGGCTGTGCCCACCTCCGAATCCGGGTCGGAAGGCACGTCGGGAGGATGGTTTGGGGAAGGGCATCCTCTGGTTCTCTTGGCTCCCCCAGAGAGCCCGGAGGGCGACCTCCCTCCCCAGGGCCAGCGCTGCGTCCCGAGTCGCCCTCGAGGGTCCCCGGGCGCCCCGTCTGGGCGCCCCGAGGCCGCAGCCCGTGAGCGGCGCTCCGTACTATGATCACTTTCGCGGCGCGAGGGGGTCCTCTGGGAGCTGGGGCTCAGCGTCGACCTCGGGAGGCCACCCAAGCGCCCCAAAAGGGCGAAGCGCCTGCAGGACGAGGTCGGTCCTCGTCCTTGCCAACACGGGAAGGGGGAGGAGGAGGAGGAGGAGGAGGAGGAGGAGGAGGAGGAGGAGGAAGAGGAGGAGGAGGAGGAGGAGGAGGAGGAGGAGGAGGAGGAGGAGGAGTGCTGCCGCGCCCGTGCCGCCTCCGCCGAGGCCACGCGCACGATGTCTGCGAGGCGACCCGTCCGCCTCTCTCTCTCTCTATCTCTCTCCCTCTGCTCGCTCCCCACCTCCCCCCTCGCCCTCCCGCGCCCTCCCTCCCCCTCCCTCGCCGGCGCCCTCCTCCTCCCTCGCCCTTCCCGCGCCCTCCTCCTCTCCCCACGACGACCACGACGACGAACACGACCACGACCACGAGCACGACTACGACCACGACCACGACCACGACCACGACCACGACCACGACGGCGGGCGCGTAGAGTATCCTGCGCGAGCCTGTTGCCCTCCCCCTGGGAGGTTCGCGCCGAAGCTTCTGTTCATTTCCCTCTCCCCCCTCGTCCTACTCGTTCTGCCTTTCCCTTCCTCCCTCTTTGCCTCCTCGTCCTTCCATTCCTCCCCGCCGCGGGTGCGTTCTGGGTGGGCTCCGACGAAGATTTCAGCACCTCCCGCCGTCTTGTTACTTCGCGGCGCGAGTGGATCTGGGCTTCTAGGTGCTCCCCCCCCCTCACGTCCGATCCTTCGCCCCCGCTTTCCCCATGACCTCCCCGTCTCGATGCTCTTTTCCCTCTGCCCTACAGTGAGCGGCTTGAATAAGGAACACTTGCTTTTCAAAAGGGGCTCGGTTGTTCCTTAGGCTTGCGTGCGTTATTTACAGTTCCTTTTGCGTTATTTGTTATTTATCGTTCCTTATGCACTATTCCTTGGGATAAAAATGGGGCTTCGTTCCTTATTTATCGTTCCTGAGGTCAGGCCGAGGACTGTATCCTGCAGCCTGTATTTGCAAACGACCGATTCCAGCTGGGCGGGCCCCGCATTCCGTCGTCCCTTAGCTCGGTACGGACAGCGTTCCTGCCAGACTTGGTGCGCCTGCGTTCTCACGCTGTCTTCCACCTTGCTGTAGTGCCGTGGTGGCTTCCACGTCGGAGGGGTCGTCGCCGGGAAACAGCAGCTGCCCCTCTTCCCCATCCTCCTCGACCCCTCTCAGTACACCTCTGCCCTTCCAATTTTCCCTCTCTCCCGTCCTCCCCTGCCCCCCTCCTCCCCTCTCTCCCGTCCTCCTCTCCACCCTCCTCCCAACCTCCCTCTCTCCCTCCCTCCCCTCCTCCCCGCGCCCTCCTCGATCCTCGACGCGTTCCGCTCAAAATGACGATGCGGACCCAGCCGCGGAGAGGAGGGGCCTCCTGCAGGCTACCAAGGGCGAGCACATCTGCGCACAAAAACCTTAGCCCTCCCAACTCGCAATTCGATCGTCGAAGTTCGACCCTCTCGGTTCGAACTTCGATCCTCGAAGCCAGATCCTTGGAGTTCGAAGTTCGTTCCTCGATCGTCGATCCTCCTTCCTCACTCCATGTCGTCTCCATCGTCCTCGATCCGCGATCCTCGATCTCCCCCTTCTCCCCACCTCTTCACTGATCCTCCCCCTTCCCCTCTATGGGCTTTCTCACGTGGCGGAGTGATTTGCCCGGCCAGCGCCGCCGGCGAACGCGACCCCGACGTGTCAGACAGCTACGTACAACACGCCGCCTCGGCTGCGCCGGGCACCCTCTCACGGTCAGCCACTCCGACAGCGCGTGCCACGCCGCCGGCTGTGGCCACCGCTCCGGCGCGACGCGCGAACTCACCGCTTCCCCACTCCCACTCGCCAGAGCTTCCCGAGCCTCTCCTGGCCGCCCGCCGCGCGGAGGCGGCGCGACGCGCCCTCCGCCTGCAGGCCGCGGCGTGGCGCCGCGGGGCCGCCGCCGCGCCGCGCGCAGGGCAGCGGCTTCCCGCCCCAGCAGAGCCCTCATGCCCGGCCCCGCCCCGCTCCGCCCGCCCCCGGCCTCGCCGCGCCCGCGCCTGCTCCCCCCGCCCCCGCCCCGCCCGCGCCGCGCCCCGCCCGCGCCGCGCCCCGCCCCGCCCGCGCTCCGCTGCCCCCGCGCCCCGCCGCGTCCCGCCCCGCCTCGCGCCCCGCCCCGCCGCGCGGCGCCTCGGAGAGGTCCGAAGAGAGGTGCGTTCCGGGGGCGCGTCAGTGGGCTCCCCGACTGGCGACTGGCGGCCCGTGCGCCTCCCCAAGCGACGGTAGGTTCATGCGGCGACGGCGAGCCGGCGATGCCGGCGAAGGCGTTCAAGGTTGAGCTCCGCACGACGGGACGACGCGGAGGCACCAGGGGACACGGCCACGCCACAGGACCCGACGGAGTTCGACCTGGAACGATCGGGGCCGCGGTCGGTTCAAGGTGGAACGATCACCGCGGCGTCAAAAACCTTGACTTGTTCCGACGCCGCGCGAACCTACTGTATGTGCAGGATAGCAGGGCTCGCTTCGATTCCTCCGATTCGATTTGATTTCGATGGATTTCGATTCCGATTCGGTTCGACTTTGGATTCCAATTTCTCAAAGAGGCAGTACTACTCTGCCGATTTCCGCCGATTCGAGTCCTCCCGACTTGGCTGCCAATTTCCGCCGATCCGATGAATTTCGATTGCCGATTCCACTTGTCGATTCGATCCTGGGCTCTCCTGGAAGAGCGCACCAACTCGTCCCTCCAAGCTCCTGTATCGTTTAACCGATCCCCATCCCCATCCCCGTCCCTTTCGAGACCCCCACCAAATTACCACCCCAGTTGGGGATGTACCCCTCGAAACCCGACGGGAACGACCTAGATCCCCATCTGGGGGGCTAAGTCGGCCAGTGGGGCCCAGTCCACGCCGCTGGGGATCGGGATCGGATAAACGATAGTTACTCAACAAGCTCCCCGCCGCCCCGCCCGTCAGCGACTCGCCGCGGACCCCCGCGGCGGCCCGCAGCCTGGCGGCGGCGGCGGGCTGGGCAGAGGCCGTGGGCATCCCCGCGATCGGCGTCGTCGGCGTCGTCGTCGTCGTCGTCGTCGTCGTCGTCGTCGTCATCGTCGTCGTCGTCGTCGTGGGGTCGTGGTCGTGGTCGTCGTCGTCGTCGTCGCCGCCGTCGTCGTCGTGGTCGTCGTCGTTGTCTTTGTTGTCGTCGTCGTCGTCGTCGTCGTCGTCGTCGTCCTCGTCGTCGTCGTCGTCGTCGTCGTCGTCGTCGTCGTCGTTAGCGTCGTCTTTGTCGTTGTCGTTGTCGTCGTCGTCGTCGTCGTCGTCGTCGTCGTCGTCGTCGTCGTCGTCGTCGTCAGCGACAGCTTCAGCATCAGCGTCGTCGTCGTCAGCGTCGTCGTCGTCGTCGTCGTCGTCGTCGTCGTCGTCGGGGCAGGTGGGGGTTTCCGAGGACTTCCAAAGAGACCCCTAGAGATTACGCGCGCCCCTCTCCACCCTCCTCTCCCTCCCGCGCGCGCTCCCGCATTCGCGCGGGGGGGGAGGGCAGAGGAAGAGGAGAAGGAATAGGTGTAGGAGGAGGCACAGGAGGAGGAAGCCACGGCGGCCCAGAAAACCGTGGCAGTGCGCCAGCCCTAGGGGGCAAGCCTCGACCGACACCTTTTTCCCCCCCATGCTTTTGACATCCTTACCATCCCATGCCCGTACGACGTCACCACGATTACGACATCGGCAGAAGCCCCCTTGCCCTTGGTTCGCCTGGCAGCGCGGTCGCCGTCACTAGCAGCAGCACCACCAGTGCCCAGCTCTTCCAAAGCTGCGTCCCCTGAGATCCGACGCTGCAGAAGCACTGCAACACCGCAAGAAATCGCGACCGGACCCCCGGACCCCGTCTGTCGGCATCCCCTCTGCGAGCCAGATCGATCTGTGAGGGCCCCGGAGCCCGACAAGGACGAGCGACACCGCCCGGCTCGAGGAAGTCGAGGGCCGCCAGGACCTCACCCTCCTCCCTCCTCCCTCCTCCCTCCTCCCTCCTCTCCCTCCTCCCTCCTCTCTCCTCCCTCCCCCCTCCCCCCTCCTCCCTCCCCCCTCCCCCCTCCCCCCTCCCCCCTCCCGAGGGCGGCCCGGCCCTCCCCAGCAAGCATGCCGCAGCCCGGGGAGGAGGGGGAGGCGGCAGCGCTCACGCAGCGGGGGGACCGCCCGCAGGGCGCCCGGGGGGCGGCAGCCGAGCCGCCCGGAAGCAGAAGCACGGCAGGGGTCAGAGGTTTCGATCGGGGCGCCCATGGCCTCATCTTGCCGCGGCGCCGCTCGAGACGGATCTCCAAACGACGCGAAGATCGGGACAAAATCGGATCGGGATAATTCGAGATCTCTGAGAGTCGGCGGGTTTGGAGGACGTATTGGGCGCCGCGGCCGCTCCAGAGCGTTCCGGAACGCTCTGAGAGCGCTCCGGAACGCTCTGGAGCGATTTATCCCGATCCTATAGCCCTGTTTTAGATCTCTCCGCGAGGGCCCTGGGTCCGCAGACAGGGCCGCAGCGCCCGGAGTGGAGGAGGCAACACGTGCGAGGCTCGGGTCTCCGGGGCAGGGGTTGGTGGCGAGTGAATGGGGGGAAGTGAGGAGGAGAAGGCCTTCTCAGGAGGCGGCGGGGCGTCTCGGAAGCCCTCGGGCCTGCTGACCAGCTCTCTGCGCATTATGGAGAGGCCCTACGGCCGGTGCCGCCGACCCTGAACGACGACGACGACGACGACGACGACGACGACGACGACGACGACGACGACGACGACGACGACGACGACGACGACGACGATGCTGGCGTGGGTCCGAGGCCTCAGGGATGCTTCTTGGGGTCTCGCATCGGGGCGCTCTCGGGTGCCTCCGGGGGATAGTTACTCTAGGGCCTCTCGGGAGCCTCTTAAGGGCCCTGAGATCCGACGTTGCAGGAAAAAGTTGTTAAAAAATGACAACATATCGCAACACATCGCAGAACATTGCAACAACAATTGCACAACAATTGCACAACAATTGCAGAAAAGTTGTTAAATAATGACAACATCGCAAATGAAACGTTGCAACAAAATGGCAACATCGCAGAAAAATCGCGACCGGACACTTGGACCCCATCTTTTGGCGTCATTTTCCGAGCCAGATCGATCTGTGAGGGCCCTGGAGCCCGAAGAGGAGCGAAAACGCCCTGCTCGAACACAATTGCAACATCGCAAGAAATCGCGCCCGGACGCCTGGACCCCCTCTTTCTGCGTCATTTTCCGAGCCAGATCGATCTGTGAGGGCCCTGGGGCCCGGAGAGGAGCGAAAGCGCCTGGCTCGAACACAATTGGGTCGCCCGGATCTCAGGGGGGGCCTGTTCTTAGTGGGCCCCGGAAACGGCAGGGCCGTTTGCTCACCGTTTCCGAAAAAGTGTCCTTTGAAAAAATGGAAACGGCCAAAAAAAACGGCGACCGGAAACGGCAACAAAAACGGCTCCAGGATTGGAACCAGAGCGTGAACCCGTAAAGAACGGCGACGGAACTGGTAACTAAAACGGCGTCGGAACCGGCAAAATAACAGCAAAACGGAACCGGTAACAAAAACGGCCCCGTCGCTTCCAGGGCCCGCTAAGGGCCTGTTGGGAGGCTTCTGGGGGCCTCTTGGGGCTTCCCGGGCGCATCTTGGGGGTTTCCTGGGGGCGGCTTGGGGGCTCCTTGGCGCTTCCCGGGAGCCTCTCCGGCCGAGGGCCCAGCCGTCTGGGCAGTTTGTTTTTCTGTGTATTCGGAGAAGGCTTAGCAACTTCCCGGGAAGGCTGGAGTTCAGTCGGGCCTGTCCCTCTACAGGAGGAATGTTCAAAAATAGTTAAGGAAATAGTCAGGGGATGATTTTTCATTTTTTGTTATAATCCTCTTAATGTTTTTGAGCATTTACGGAGTATTTTTTTGGGTTTTTTCCCGAAATCCGCCTGTAGGGGGACACGCCCGACCTAAGCTTAGAAACTTCCCTGAAGGCTGGAGGACTCTGGAGCCTTCTGAGAAGCCCCGCCCCTCTTGCTTTCCCCTGGGCGCGCCGCCGAAAGGGGGTGTCCTTGGATTTGGGCCTTCGATTTGGACCCTGCACACTGCGCTGGCCTGCGCGCTTGGAGTTGGCGTCCCCGCGGCCCCCTGAAGCCACGCACCAAAGCCATAGGGTCATCACCACCCACCAAACCACCCCAACCCAACTCGAAGGCTCTAGTGTGCCCTGAAATCCCAGTGGTGGGGCCGTCGGGGAACGTTGACAAAGACACATCTGGCACCCGTACCCTCCCCAACCCGAAATCTGTGTCTTCGGGTTGGGGGTGGGGTGTTCTTGCAGGCAGTCAGGTCCCTCCTGCTTGTAGTCGAGGGCCCAGAACCCCGACGTCGTGATTTTAATGACGTCGACCCCCAGAGGTCTGGGCCCATTCCCTGGGACCAGTTTTTCATCCTGAGTCGTTTTCTGACTGTCCCGAGGCCCGGTAGGGGCCCCCGGAGGCCGAAGACATGGAAAAACCTCCGATCGCGATTTTTTCACGACGCGAAAAGGGGGTCTGGGAGGGTGTCCCTCCGCCCGTGGTGCGCGCTGCTCCTGGCCCAGAGATTCGTTGTCGTGATTTTTCCAGTTCGCCCCCCCCCCCCCCCCCAGAAGTCTCGACCCATTCCCCGGGGCTGGCTTTCCATCCCGAACCCTTTTCTGAGGGCCCCGCGGCCAGGCGAGGGCCTCTGCAGGCCGGCAACGGCGAACGACCTCCGCCTTGATTTTTGCGATGCGCTGGACCCCTGGCACTGGGGGGCACCCCAGGCCCCCTCGAGTCATGAACAAATCACGACGGGAGGTTTTTCCATATTTTCGGCCTCCGGGGGCCCCTATACCGGGCCTCGGGACCGTCAAAAAACGACTCAGGAGGAAACACCGGTCCTGGGGAATGGGTCCAAACCTCTGGGGGTCGACGTCATGAAAAAATCATGACGTCGGGGGTCTGGGACCGCCGCCCCCCTCGCGGAGGTGCCCGCGGGTGACACGCCCGGGACCCGCCGCAGCGGCAGCCGGGCCGGCGCCAGCCGGGCCGGCGGCACGCCCGCGAGCCGCCGCAGCGGCAGCAGCTGGCGCAGCTGGCACACGAGCCCGCGCGCGGCCAGCGAGGAGAGGGCACCAGGCGCGCAGGGCCTCTCCCAGGCCCCCTCGAGGCACGAAGAAGTCACGACGGGAGGTTTCTCCATCTGTTCGGACTCTGGGGGGGCCCATCGGACCTCGGGACCGTCAGAAAACGACTCAGGATGAAACGCCAGTCCTGGGGAAGAGGTCCAGACCTCTGGGGGTCGACGTTGTGAGCAAATCACGACGTCGGGGGTCTGGGCTCAGTGGAGGAAAAGGTATACCCATGGCCCATACCTCTACACTTCCCCTGTTTCCCCCCTGTCGGGACTCCTCGGAGGCGCTCGTCGCCACCGCTGGCTTCGCCTTGAACTCCGGGTCAGAACGCACCCTGGGGGAGGGCCGAGGAGTATACTCCAGATTTCGTAATAAAGGGAGGGGGGTCTCATTTCGGGGGGGGGTCTCTTCCAGGCCATCTTGGAGGGCCTGGGGGGGTCTGGGGACGACGTTTTGGAGGGTTCTCCCACGGGGGGGGAGTCTGAAATGGCTTGTCTTGGAGGGTCCAGACCCCCTCCCTTTTATTACGAAATCTGGAGTAGCGGTATCGGTAACTTCTGGCTTCCCCAGCCTCGGGGTTGGAGAGTCGGGGTTCGAGGATCGAGGCTTCTGGACGCTCTTGGGCCTCCCTGGGCCTCCCTTTTGGGCGCCCTCGTGGCCACGGCTGGCTGCGCCTCTTAAGCTCCTGCCAGGGCGCTCCGAGGGTGAATCTAATGCTTGACCCTTTTGCGAGCCAGCGGTCAGCGAGGAGAGGACGCCAGGCGCGCATGGCAAGGGATGCCCTCGCATCCCTGTCTTGTCTGTTTGCAGTCGGGGCGCTGAAGAAGGAACCCTTTGTCCTTTGGGAGGGGCTCAGTGCCCCTTGGTTGTTTTGCAGTTCGCCCTAGGTGTTTCTCAAGTATTCGATGGGAGTCTAAGTTTAGCTTACGTCAGCGTCCCGATTGTATTCTTGGCCGATTTCGCCGCTGGGGCCCCAGGGATAGACTCTTGCGGCGGGCTGCCACCTGGATGGGACACCGTCGATCCCTCGGAGGTCTCTGTGGTGGGGGACGCGCGGGGCACCAGCGCGCCTCCTGGGGCCCTCGGTCCCCTGCCCCCCCCCACCGGGGCGTCTTCTCTTCCCCATTTGTGTTCTGGCGGCCGCGTGGCCCAAGACGGCCTCGAAGAGGCCGACAGCTCGGAAAGGCCGTGCCCTCCTCGCTTTCCCTTTACGGCGACGGGGAGAAGGGGCACAATGACGACGAGCGAGACAATGACAACGCCGACGACGACGACGACGATGACCACGACGCGACGACGACGACAACGGCATGTAATGTTACGACGACGACGAACGACGAACGACGACGACACCGGCTGCGGCGACGACGACGACGGCGACGGCGACGACGACGACAGCGACGACGGCGGCGGCGGCGGCAAAGACGACGACCCCATCGTTACTCACCGACGGATCTTTCTTGGAGTGCGTTTTGACCCGAATCTCGGGGGGGAGGTCCGGCCGCGGCCGCGAGAGCGACTTCTGGGGGCCCCAAAGGGACCAGGCAGGTTGGAAGGCAGTGGTCCTCGATCGTCGGCCTACGGCGAACACGGAGCGCGCCGCTGGGCCGCGATCGCTCGACGCTGACGACGATCCTCCATCGACGGCGACAGCAGAGGCGACGACGACGACGACGAGGGCAACGACGCCGCGGCGCCGCCGCCGACGACGCCGCCGCCGACGACGACGACGACAACGAGGCTGAGGACCACGCCGCCGCCGCCGCCGCCGCCGACGCCGACGACGACGACGACGCCGCCGCCGCACGCCGCACGCCTCGTGAGGCCGCCGCCCCACCGTAGGCTCGGAGCGGCAGCGCTCCGCCTCCCGGCGGAGCACGGGGCGGCGCAGCGCCGGCTGGCGGAGCTCCGGGGTGCCCGCCGCCCGCTCGCCGCCCGCCCGCCGCCCGCCCGCCGCCGTCGTCGTCGTCGTCTCGGTCCGTCCTCGTCGTCGTCGTCGCCGTGGTCGTCTTTGTCGTCGTCGCCGTGGTCGTTGTCGTCGTCCTCGTCGTCTTTGCCGTCGCCGTCGCCGCCGCCGCCGTCGTCTTTGTCGTCTCTGTCGTCTTTGTCGTCGTCGTCGTCGTCGTCGTCGTCGTCGTCGTCGCCGTGGTCGTCGCCGCCGCCGCCGCCGCCGCCGCCGCCGCCGTCGTCGTCGTCGTCGTCGTCGTCGTCGTCGTCGTCGTCGTCGTCGTCCTCATCGAGGATCGAGGTTTGAGGATCGAGTTTTTTGGATTATTGACGCTTTGCGTATCCCCACCAGCCCAGCTCGACACAGTCAACTGGCACGTTGCCATGATCAGGATATTTGTAGCAGCATGCTGCCGTCTTGGCGAGGCTATATTGTGGCCATTTTGGATGCCTTTGTCGCGTTCTTGGAACACCCTTGGGGGGCTCCTGGGCCCTTCCTGTGACCCTCCTGGGAGTCTCTTGGGCATCTCTTGGGAGACTTGGGGGCCCTCTTGATGCCGTCTTGGAAGCTATCGGTCAAAGGGGGGGGTCTTTAATACGCCCCCCCCGTCGGAGCCCGCCAAATAGTCTCCAGGGGCTCACTTGGGGGGCGCTCTTGGGGCGGCCTTGGGCGCTGTTGGGGCCGTCGTGGGACCCTCTTGGGCTCCTCTTGAGGTCCTTTTGGGCCAACTTGGAGCTACCTAGAGGCTAAAGGCCCATCCGAAGCGATCTTGCGGGAACGTACAGCTCACCGACGCTCCCAAGGTTTTGGAAGGGCTTTTGCATCGAGGGTCTTTGGGGAGGCTCGGCGGAAACTCGAAGCCGTCCTGGGGCGGTCTTAAGGGCTCTTGACGGCATGTCGGAAGCTATCTTGAAACCATGTTTGGATATTTTGAGCGATCTTCGAACCCATGTTGGGCTCTTAGGGGCCATCTTGAATCTTGGAGCAATCTTGGGCCCTCTTGGACGCTCCAGCCCATCGCGGGCAGGCCCCCCTTCAGACCCTGGGGGGGGCGGACCTCCTCTCCAGAGGGGGAATAAGGGGGTAAGCAGAACGAGCTCGTTACACCACTCGCACCTGCTGGTGGGATCTTCGCTCACTCCTTTTTCTGTCGAAGAAGAAAGAACCACATAAACATAAACTTTTGGCGCTCCGCGCAGACCCCCAGCTGCGCCGCCTCCAGCGCCGCCCCTGGCGCGCTCCGCGCGCCAGGGAGGGGGGTCCAGCGCGAACCCTGGAAATCCGCGCGGAGCGCCAAAAGGTTATGTTTATGTGGTTGTTTCTTCCTCTTTCTGGGCCCTCTCGGGGACGCCCCTGTGGCAGCGGGTGGAGTCCCATCGGAAGCCTCACCAGAGCGCATCCCAGGACGGGCCTGGTGGCGTTGTGTCTCGAGGGAGCGACCCAGGCGTCCAACGTCTCCAGGAGGCAAACGACACGGGCACAAATCATCGTCGATGCCCCAGGGAAGTGCGGAACATGTGGGAAGTGGAGGGGAAGAGGAGCACCCAGGGAAAACATGTGGAAGTTATGGGTGATCCTAAGATGCGTGCCTCTTTCTTGGCGTGTCCCTGGGCCCCTTCAGTCTTGGTTGAGTTGGGGCCGTGGTTTGCTTCAGACTCTTCTGGAAGCTGTCTTCGGGCTCCGAGACGGTCATCGCACCATCCAGGGTGACAACCCGGCCCCGAGGCAGGGGCAGGGGCTTCTGGCCACCCCACAGCCACAAAACACGTCGTCGGAGGCCCGGGAGGGGCGACGAGGACGACGACGCGATCGACGACGAGGTCGACGACGACGGTGGCAGCGGCGGCGGCCGGAGCGGTGCGCCGAGGTTCTTCCTGAGAGTCTGCGCAGTAGCCGGGAGGACGCGGACCTCGAGGCGACCAGCCGCACCCGCGTCCTTTTCCCTCCGCTCCGAGGAAAGAGGAGGAATAGGAGGAAGAGGAGGAGGAGGAAGAGGAGGAAGAGGAGGAGGAGGAGGAGGAGGAGGAGGAGGAGGAGGAGGAGAAACAGAAGAAGGATTCTGATGATGCTGATGGGAGGAGGAGGACGAAGAGGAGGAGAAGAGGAGGAGGAGAAGGAGTAGGGGAGGGAGAGGAGGAGGTGGAAGAGGAGGAGGAGGAGGAGGAGGAGGAGGAGGAGGAGGAGGAGGAGGAGGAGAGGAGGAGGAGGAGGAGGAGCAGGGAGGAGAGGAGGAGGAGGAGGAGGAGGAGGAGGAGGAGGAGAGGAGGAGGAAGTAGGAGGACGAGGAGGAGGAGGATGATGAGGACGAGGACGAGGAGGAGGAGGAGGGAAGAGGAGGAGGAGGAGGAGGAGGGAGGGAGGAGGGGGAAGGAGCAGGAGTAGGAGGAGGAGGAGGAAGAGGAGGAGGAGGAGGAGGAGGGGAGGAGGAGGAGGAGGAGGAGGAGGAAGAAACATAAGAAGGATTATGATGATGCTGATGGGAGGAGGAGGAGGACGAAGAGGAGGAGGAAGAGGAGGAGGAGAAGGAGTAGGAGGAGGAGGGAGAGGAGGGATGGAAGAGGAGGAGGAGGACGAGGAGGGATGAGGACGAGGACGAGGAGGAGGAGGAGGAGGAGGAAAAGGAGGAGGAGGAGGAGGAGGAGGGAGGGAGGAGGAGGAGGAGGAGGAGAGGAGGAGGAGGAGGAGGGGGAAGGAGCAGGAGGAGGAGGGAAGAGGAGGAGGAGGAGGAGGAGAGGAGGAGGAGGAGGAGGAGGAGGAGGAGGAGGGGGAAGGAGCAGGAGGAGGATGGAAGCATGAGGAGGAGTAGGAGGACGAGGAGGAGGAGGAGGGGGAGGAGGAGGGCTGAATAGAAGGGAGGGAGGAACAGCACGACGACGTCGACGACTTGGCTTCACGGCTGGAGTGTCACAGCTGGATTGGTCGGACTTCCCATGAGACAGTCCAGGTCCGCACGGCCGATCTTGCAGGCTCGCAAGTTAAAGTGTCGGAGATCTCCCGTGGGAGCGGGAAGGGTGCTCTGCGTGCATTGGCAGCATGGTGGCAGCAGCAGCAGTGTTCCACGTAGCAGCTTAGACAGCAGTTCCTATCGAGACGCTTTTTTCGACGCTCAATTTTGGCTCAAGCCGGTTTGTGGATAGCCGAGGAAGCTCTCGTGCAGACCCGACCCGTGGCGGCCCAGTCTCCATCACAATTTCCATAACCACAGCGACTCCGATCCCATTTTCCATATTCCTTGCTCTCTTCATCCAGACCCTGCGCATGGTCAGTGTAGTGGCGAGCTCGAGCGTTTCACCGACGGACGCGCCGTGTGTGGGCCTCCTCTGGCAGACTGTCGAGGAGGAGGAGTACCCAGAAATCAACTTCGCACACCCTCTTTTGGCTTCCCTTTCCCCTCCTCTCCTCTGACTCTGTCTGGAAAGTCTTCCGTCCTCTCTGCGAGTTGTTTTTTACACAGGATTTCATTGACTGTTTTTCCCTATGTGTTTTTATCTGGTCGGTTATGGTTCTTTTAATGGTGCTCCCGCTGCAGCGCCGCTGTCATTTCTGCGCGTCGGTCGTTCAAAATCGTGCTCCCGCTGCAGCGCTGGCCTCGTTTCCGCGCCTCCGGACGGCACTTGGCATTCGAAAGCTCCCACATCCGGTAGGCACGTTGGCAGAGGGCATGGAGCTGGCATTCTGGACAGGCCTTGTCCTCTCGTACGCGGGCCACTTACCTTCCAAGTCATCCGGTGCCATGCTACGGCATGTAATGCAATGCTGTGTTGTGCACCGCTGTGCGATGCTATGCTTTGCGTTGCGAGGCTTTGTGATGCAATGCTTCACCACGCAATGCCACGCCATGCTATGACATCCTATGCTCTGTCGTGCTCTTCTACGCCATGCTTGCCCATCCATCGCGTACCCTCTACGGACCGAGCCTTGATAGGTTTCCATTCGAAGTGAACCGACCCCTGGTAGGATCCCAGAACAGTTGGATCGAGCCCTCGTAGAATGCCATACGACCTGGATCCAGCCCTGATCGGATTTTATGAGTGCTGGATTGAGCCCTGGTAACATGCTACTGGAACTGGGTCGAACCCCAGTCGGATTCTGCTAGATTTGGGTCCAGCCTTAAAAGGATTCCATCCGAGTTGAATAGAGTCCTAGTAGGGTGCTATGAAAGCTGGACCAAGCTTCCGTATGATTCGAGTAGAGTTGGGCCCAGATTTTGTAGGATCTCATTGGAGCCGGATCGAGCCTGAGTAGGATGCTATAACTCAGGACCGATCCCTTGTCGGCTCCCATTCGAGCTGGATCGAGTCATAGTAGGACCCAACAAGAGCAGGATCCCGACCTGATCGGATTCTATTCGAACTGGGTGCAACCCCAGTAGGATGCTATCAGAGCTGCATCAATCCATAGTGGCATTTCTTATAGCTGAATCGAGCTCGAGTAGGATGCCATTACAGCTGGATCCAGCCCTGATAGGATTCTACTAGTGCTGGATCGAGCTGTCGTTGTCGTCCTCGTCGACGTTGTTGTCATTATCGTTGTCGTTGTGGTCGCCGCCGCCGTTGACGTTGTCGCCGTCATCGACTTGTTCGTCGTTGTCGTCGTCGGCGTTCGTTGCCAACTGCGCGCATCAGGAGGGGGGGTCCCCCGCCCCGGCTCGAACCTACCGCCCTCCATCTTCGGAACAAGGGGGTGTGGGTGGGGGGGCCTGGTTAGTGAGGCTGGTGTGCTGGGGGTGGGGGAGGGCCCCCCTCTGGTTGTCCTGTCGCGCCGGATGTCTTGCCCCCCCCCGGTTCCGATGTGACTCGGGATGGTCCCCAAGCAGACGTCCACGGAACGAGTCGCAGCAGCCTCCCAGAGGCAGAGAACCGCGCATCGAACGTCGACGCCGGCGACGACAGCGACGTCGACGCCGAAGACGGCGAGGCCGTCGACGACGGCTCGGCCTGCTGCGGCGGCGGGAGCGAGCGCCCGGGAGCCCGGGCCTCCAGAGGCCGCTGGGGAGGCAGCCGGAGGCTTCGGGGAGCGCCGGAGGAGCCCCCCGAGGGAGGAGAGGATTCTCGCTCCTGGGCCCTCGAGCCTCGACCCTCGGCCCGTCGATCCTCGATCCTCGGCGAGGGCGACGGCGGCGACGGCCGCGACGTCGACGGCGAGGACGACGACGAGGTCGACGGCGGCGACGGCGACGGGGTCGAGGTCGAGAGCGACGGCGACGACGAGGTCGAGGTCGAGGACGACAGCGGCGACGAGGAGGACGACGGCGAGGCGGACCACCACGACCACGACCTTGTCGCGACGTTGCAGCAACAGTCGGACGGCGCAGGTGGTCCGCGGCGGCGCAAACTGCGGCCGAACCTGATACCGAAAGCGCCCGAGCGAACGCCGTGAGATCCCGTGCTAGGGGCAGGCCGCGACCACGACAACTAAGAGGTCGAACACGATGACGATGGCGGCGACAACGACGACGACGAAGACGACGACGGCCTCGACGACGACGACGACATCGACGACGACGACGCCTACGACGACGACCTCCTCGACCTCGAGGTCAAGGTCGACGACGACGGCGATGACGACGACGACCTCCTCCTCGACCTCGTCGATCACGACCTCTTCGACGTCGAGGTCGAGGTCGAGGACGACGACGACTACGTCGACGACGACGTCGACGACGACGACGAGGTCGACGGCGACGACGACGGCGAGAGCGAGTGCACAGGCTCCCCCCGGCGTGGAGCACGACGCCCCCGCCGCGTCTGCCTTCGCGTCGAGCAGCATGGCCTCGACGACGTGCCCCCCCGCCCGCGCCCGCCCGCCGCTGGGCCGCCCGGGGGGGCAGACCCCCCCCTCCCCAGCCTCGCGCAGGGGGGGCGGGGAGGAGGAGGAGGAGGAGGAGGAGGAGGAGGAGGAGGAGGAGGAGGAGGAGGAGGAGGAGGAGGAGGGAGGAGGAGGAGGAGGAGGAGGAGGAGGAGGAGGAGGAGGAGGAGGAGGAGGAGGAGAGGAGGAGGAGGAGGAGGAGGAGGAGGAGGAGGAGGAGGAGGAGGAGGAGGAGGAGGAGGAGGAGGAGGAGGGGAGGAGGAGGGGAGGAGGAGGAGGAGGAGGAGGAGGAGGAGGAGGAGGAGGAGGAGGAGGGGGAGGGGGGAGGGGGCGGGGGAGGGGGAGGGGGAGGGGGAGGGGGAGGGGAGGGGGAGGGGAGGGGAGGGGGGGGAGGGGGAGGGGTGGAGGAGGAGGGGAGGGGGTAGGGCTTCAGAAGAGCACCCCTGCTTCTTGGAGGGCGCGGGCCTTATCTATAGACATGAGGCTGGCGCCTTCTAACAAGCAGGCTCCTTCTAGGAAGCCCTTCCCCCCTTCTGCGCACCTCTACCGTGAAAAGACCACGGTAAGTTAAAGCACGAGGCGAGGATGTGCGTTTTTGTGTCATGCTGCGTAACAGCCCCCGCCTCGTGATGTTAGCCTGCCTACCTCCTCTGCTGGACTGATAACGACTCCATGGATGGCGGCTCTGCAGGCCCGAGTTCAGGCACGAGAGGCGTTGGCGGCGGCAAAGTCGGCCACCAGGGCGTCACTCGGAGCAGCCAGGTGAGCAGTCGCGATGACAATTGACTCCTCGATAAATGGCTCGGGCCCCAAGGGATCCTTTATAAAAAGAGCCAAGACTACGCCCAGTACTGTAAATGGCGGGGGATCTTTCCTGTACTGTGAATGGCGGTCTTTTCTTGTACTCCGACGCGGGTTCGACGCGGTTTCGACGTGGATTCGACGTGGACTCGACACGGATTCGATGCGGATCGTGGCGCTACGGGACAGGCAGGGTTCCCCGAATATGCGACACAGCTCAGATTTCCGCAGGTGTTTGCTTGTTTCGTTGACAATCCAGTGCTTGTGCTGTTTCATGTTGTTGGCAATCCCGCTTCTTTTTGTTTTGTGTTGTCATATTGTGGATGCTGAAGTTCTGCGCTTGTTCGTTGACTTCGAATGTGGGCACCAGGGGCCGTCTTCGGGACCCAGATCCGCTTCCCGTGAACTGTGAAATTGGTCGGATCCTTTTGGGCCCGCACTGTGAACACATTCAATCCGCGGGAGGCCTGGCAAAACGGCCGGAGGACCTTCCAGGATGGCCCCAAGACGGCCAGCTCCAAAGACCCCCGCCCCGAAGGGGCGACCCGTTTAGCGGCAGGTCTTGCCCCTTTCTCCTCAAGCTGCGGCTGCTCGTCCTCGTCCTCCTCCGGTCCCCTCCTCTCTCCTTCCCCGGTCGTCCCCTCCCCGCACCATCCTCCTCCCTGACCTCCCCTCGCTCTTGCCCGCTTTCCTCTGTCTCCCGCCTCGCGCTCCGTCGGCAGCGCGTCTTGAAAGGCATGTTCCATACTCTCGGGGGTCGCATGTGCGTCGCGAGGCTGTCGTCGCTGCTGTGATGCCCGCTCTCCGCCCTCCCTTCCTGGCAGCCGTGCGCTGGGACAGGTCGCTCCCTCCTCATCCCTGGCCCGACCAGGCCGCTGATGTCTCGATGCCTGAAGTTCGCGGGCCCTGGAGTTCTCTCGACACCTTCCCGGGACCCCTGCCCTGGGGGTTTGAGTGTCGTTGATTCTGTGTGTCCCGGGTCGCGGTTTGACTGCCCCAGGGTCTGGGCACGGCTTTGAGAGGCCGAACGTGGCAAACGATAAGCCGCCCTTCCTCTGCTCAAGACGTTGGAGGCCCGGGCGTGCGGCAATCTCAGGCACCTCGACAGGGACCTGCTGCCGCAGGGCAGCATGAAGAGCATCATGCAGGCCGGCCGTCCACCGCCCGAACCTTGCCCATCCGTTTCCGCTGCTTCGGAGTCGTGCCCAGGCATCTCGAGGACCTCTCGAGGAGCGGTGGGTATCGATGTCTGAGACACTGGAGGGAACCGCCGCCCGCACATCCGGTACCTTCCCAAGGCCTTCCCAAGGGAGCAGTGGATTCGGGGACTAAGCGATGACATGAACATAGTAACTTGGAGGTCCGCGCGGATTGCTCGGATCGGCGCTGGACCCTCTTTACCAGGAGGCTTCAGTGCCGATCTGAGGAATCCGCGCGGACTTCCGAGTTTTTATGTTTACATTAGTGTTTGTTCCCCTATGGATAGGGATGTCTGTGAAGTGGAGTGCGAGAGAGTACCAGTGTCTTGTGAGGAGGAGGAGGAGGAGGACCAGTGTAAACCAAATAATCACAAGCGATATTGGAATAATCCCTCCCTCCAAGCTCCCTCATCACAGGCCCCTACAAGGGTTGATTATCACTGAGTGAACTGCCTCGTTGGAAGACAACCGCTTGAGGACCCTGAAGCATGCCATAACATTATCCTCGGGACTCCAACGCCATAGATCAACCTAACTGGTGCGTCTTGGCAATCCTGAACCGTGCCAGAACGCCATACCTGGGACTTCAGCTCCGCGAATCAGCGTAACTGTTGCGCCCTCATAATCTTGAATCTTTCCAAACCATGATTTCTGGTGCGTTGAACATGGGACTTCTTCAAACTCTTGCAGTTGTTTAGCAGTAGTGTGCGCGGCGCTGAGGCGAGAGCCACATTTTGAAAAGGAATCGCCCTCAATCCGTGAAGCACTTGCAATGTGTTAAACGAATGTGCGCGGCGCTAAGGCGAGAGAGCTACATTTTGAAACGACCCGCCCTCAATACGTGAAGTTCTTGCAATGTTTTAGAACGACTGTATGCGTCGCTTAGGCGAGAGCCACATTTTGAAAACGACCCGCCCTCAAGCTGGGAATATGCTGCCAATGCTGAAGCTTCAGAGTCATATATGATGAGAAAGTCTCAGGCGAAGCGCCCGGCCCGCCCTTTCGACAGGCTTCGGGGTGCTACGGGGAGAAGTAATATGTAAGGAAAGGAGGAGGAGGAAGAGCAGGAGAAGGAGGAGGAGCAGGAGAAGGAGGAGGATGAGGAGGATGAGGAGGAGGAGGAGGAGGAAGAGGAGGAGGAGGAGGAGGAGGAGTGAGGAGAAGGGGGAGGAGGGGAGGTTGAGGAGCAGAGGAGGAGGATGAGGAGGAGGAGGAGTGGGAGAAGGGGGAGGAGGGGGAGGAGGAGGAGTTGGAGCAGAAGAGGAGGAGGAGGAGGAGGAGTAGGAGGAGGAGGACGAAGAGCAGAGGGACCAGGACGAGGAGGAGAAGGAGGAATAGGATGATGATGTGGAGAAGGAGGAGGAGGAGGAGGAGGAGAAGCCGCGGGCCCCGAGGACAGGGCCGCTGGCAGCGCTGCAGCCGACAGCGGCAGCCCGCGAACCCGATGCATCCCCAATAAACTCTTACATCCCATAATCCTTCGCACTGTCTTTACACTACGCCCTGACCTATCACATGGTGATTCTTTTCCCTCACCCCGCGTCAACTGCCACGAGTGAGCCTACGACCTCATTACCTTCACGACGGCATCGACGCCCAAGCACCACCACGGCTTCGACATCTACACCGTGCGCCCACACAGCGAGCACCACTTGCCAGGCCATTTTGTTCAGCCGGCTTTACCAATACTGCAGCATTTTGCAAGCAGTAGCACAACGACCTCGTTGACTTCCCCCAACCCTGCCTGGCACGGAAGGGAGAGGGAAAAGCGTGCAGCGGCACGAATGCTACTACGGGTAGCCTCAGCGCGCGCCCTCGTCGACCAATCGACCCACCAGCAGCTTCGCGCAGCTCAACTATTTCTAGACCAGCACCGCAGTGCAGGCGACACAATGTAAAGCTGCACGCAGCCTCCCCAAGCCAAGGCAAATGCAAGGGGAAGTGCCAACAGCGACAAAACAACAGCAAAGGGAAAGGCCCAACCTGGCAACCCGTCGGGCACAGCGGGCACGCCTACCCAACTCAGCATGATCTAGTAGGCATGACCAACTGAGTCGAAGGCAGCAGTTGCCTATGTTGCAGGAAGCAATTCCACGCCATACAACACCTGCTTATACACTTGCGATACAGAGTAGCACGATGAAAAAACTACTACATGCAACCCGTCTCATGACTGCCACCCGGCATTATGCATGCACTACAACAAAGCTTCAGCACTGCCACACAAACCAACAATGACAAAGGACTACGAGCAGACGCAGCTACGATATCAGCAGAACTGTCAGAAGGAACACACACGTCAAGCATGTATCCAAATACGACGTGGCTATACCACCCACCGCTACTATCGCGACAGAGCAAACTCACCGACAACTCCTCAGTGACACCAAGACGGAACCGACCTGCATACCTTTCTGGTTTCAAAGCGATGGGCACCCCCAATACCTACAGCACCAGCTCGAGACGGACGCGACTGTTAGCCAACACGCGTTCGCCAGCACTGGCTTCCGGCCCGACTCACAGCTCGGCCTGGCAACGCCAGATGTCACGGACACGTGGGTACAGCGCACCACCTCGGGTCAAGTGGCTGCCGTCATTGGCAAGCCACCAGACGATGCTTGGACGACCAGCGCCATGCACCGCGCCGCTGCCCAGGGATGGGGGGAACTCAGCCAATCTAACGAGCAGCTCATTCGTGCGCGCACGTCTAACGAGATGGTACAAAACACAGTTTTGCTCCGAGGTGTCGCCAAATACGCGAGTACACCTGCCATCCCAATAGCTAGACAACCCACATGGCACTCAAATGCTTCGAAGATCTGACAGATACTTCAACTCAGAGAGCTACTCAACGACACGCACGCTGCATGATTTGACCAATGCAGAACCTACACCTACCGGGGCTCCGAGCAGAATATTGGCACTGAATATCCCGCGACTGGCCACCGCCATAAACACGAGAGACAAGCGAAGCAGCTGCAAATGTTTCTCACGCAATCCTGCAGCGTACATGCCGACCTCAGGCAGCTACAACCTACCTCAGTTGTGTGTGGCGTCGAACCCCCTCAGGGAACCCCCATTGTTTTTTTTGTTGGGGGGATTTTCGGGGGGGAAGGACCCGAGAGACAATCCCCAACTCCGGTTTTTTCGCGGGTTTTCCGGGGGGGGGGGCGGGGGGGAAACTCCCGAAAACCCCTTGCATTTCAGGGGTTTTCCTGTTTGTTTCAAAGGTTCTGGGGCCCCACATTGAAAAACAATATCAGTTCAGACGAGCCATCAGGAAACACTAGAAATCCCCCCCAGGTCGTTCTTTCCTGGTTTTTCGAATGTTTTTCTCGAGGGGGGGGGACCCACGAGAAACTTCCCATCTCGAGTTTTTTGTCGGAGGGGTTTTCGTTTTTTGTCGGCGGTTTTCCCGGGGTGCGAACGAATGTCCAGGAACAAAACCCAACTATGTTTTTTTGTTTTTTTGTTTTTTCTCCGGAGGAGTAACACTTGAAAAACCCTCCAGCTCGCTTCGTATGAGCTCGCATGCTAGCATGCGCAGCCGCTGGTCCCAACGCCCATGCGACATGCCATCCTGCCGACTTGCACGATGTAGGCGCGATGGGATGCTATTCGCGCCAGGCGGCGCGGAAGAGCACGGGCTGCGCCACCATTGCATCGTCGCTCTTGCATGTGCACAGCTTGCCGTCGACATCGACAACGTCAGGATGCGATTCACACGGCAGCATTACAATCAAGACGGCACAGCAAAGGGTCCCAACGAGACCTTTCATCGCATTTGCAACCAGTAGCATGCCAAGCAATGCCCATTCGCTCTGGCCGAGAAAAACGGCATACATGCCAACTACAAGACCACGGATAACAACGCGATCCTGTGTTCCATCACTGACGGCGGCAACAACATTTTGACAGGCTCGTCGCTACTATCACTTACCAATATTATGGCGGACGTCCTCCCCGCATAATGACCAGCAGCGCTGCGCCCGCCACGGGCCACATCGATCGTTGACAGGGCCCGCAGGCACATTGCCCCGCCGACCTCGTGCGTGCAACCGCGCCACGTTGAACAAAAGAGACACCAAGCTACATGACCAAGGTGCTCAACGAACGGACTGGTACGGTGGGGCTGCCACCGTCAATTCGCCAACCCACATTACCACCGACGCACTTCGAGCTATTGCCACCCGCGCCTGGCAAACCCAAATGGCCACCAGGGATCGGGGATCTCTCGCCTACGCCAGTCGAGAGAATATACCCATGGCACCACAAGAGACCAGTGATTACCTTTGTGACCATGCGATGCCGTCCACGCCTACGATGCGTACATCGCACCCCATGCATACGACTTTTGTCTTCAGACCTGCTACAACATCAGTAGCATCCCGACAGACACCGGCCGCGGCAATGCGCATTGCGACTGGGTGCAGCAGCAACTCGAGCAGCGGCGGCAAACTGAGCAAACATAATGCAACTTCCAGGGCAGGCTACGTGAGAAATGCTCAGGACACACTCTGCCGACACCTCCACGCTAGCTAATGCCTCGCATCGGCTTCAGACCAAGACCATCCGAAAGTCAGCGTGACCAGTCGCCAGCACCACCAGCGCACCAGCCTACGCCACCACCCAAGCTGAATATGCCAACACCTGCCACAGTCCCAACGGCTAAACCATTACAACCTGTGGTAACCAACCCTTGGGGTGAGTGCGAAACTACTGCAGCGCAGACAACAGCTCACGCGCAGCAGCAGCAGACTATTGGACAGCGCGCAGACGATGACGACAGTGACCAGATAAGCCGCGGCGATGACTACAGTTGCGCCCCCAAGCCATTCACACTAACATCATTACCTCTCAGCCAAGGGCATGACATGCTCTGTCCACCAGGCTGGAAAGCGCACAGAGCCAAGGGCGACTACAGCGACGAAGACAGCGGCGAGGACAGCT